AGTTCAAGTCTTATGGTTTGAAATTCAGCTTCGGCAGTTCAAACCAGTGATGAAACGCTTGAAAGTTTAAAGGAATTTTTCTTAAACCTCATGTTTCTTGGTTCTTTTCCTGTTCCCTGCAGCTGACAGCTGGCCCATGAACTTCGACGACAGCAACGCCCGGAGGGATTGGGGTTGGAAACACGATTATGATCTCCCTGAGCTGGTGACCACCATGTTTAGTTACCTTGGGTCTGACTCCAGGATTGCCCAAGCTAACTGAAAATGCTTTCAGATGTTTCCAGATTTCCACAGAGGACCAGGAAGAAATGGCTAAGTTTAGGTTGTAATTTTCTGAGCCTTAGAGCACGTCAGTGGTTAATTTTCGTGAGTAGCAACAGAGCTGGGCAGAAACATCCTGTAGCTGGAATGTACTTTAGATAAATTAACATCAGTGGGTGCTGACTCCAGACACAACACAGATGACAAACACAAAGTTATTGAACTTTCACACTTAGAAAAAAAAACACCAAAAAGAGCACTTACTCCTGGCTGGTGGCTCTCCAATCATTCCTACCTCTTCTTTGGCAAACAGTGTGGGACAGTGTTGTCCAACCTGGTGTTTCAGGCATATCCTGCAAAGTCAGCTATAGGTGTTTTGTTTTCCTGGTGGAGAATGTTAGGGTGTAGTAAGATAAGATCCTTTCTACTCTTTGCTTCCAAAAGAGACTTCAGAAGAGCTACTTCATGTTTCCAAATTGCAGGGGCTCGTTGCAATTTTAGTTTGAAATCAAACTTTGTTCGATAGTTCCTATTTATATTTAGTGCTGTCTAAGCATACACTTTTCTATATGTAGGGCTTAAGAGCAGCATTATTCTTATAAAGCTGCTTACAAATGTGAAGTGGAATAGGACTTGAATTCTCATGATGCTTTAAAAAAAACAGGTTTTATAAGCTAAGCTTCATCCTGTTCTTTGCAAGTGCCGCTGCCTTCGGTGTAACCTTGGAGGGAGATCTGAAGTCCGGAGAGCTGTTCCATGGATGTCAGTCTGGGTGGTTTTTCAGGAAGGCAAAGGGTTTATTAGCAGTACTTTGGGTTCTCCCAGTTGTTTGCAGGACACACTGCCTGGGGCAAGGTTTAAAGGTGGGCTGGTGATGGAGCCTCACGGTAGAGCTGGGTCAGCCTTTGAAATCTTTCGTGTTCACCGCGTTTTCCACCTGCACTGTGTCTGTAGATGCTGTTCATGTGTTACTCATCCCCTTTTGTTCTTCAGAGAGGGATCCAGAAGCTGAAACCATCTTCTAGCTACAGTTAAGGCTGTTCTGCCTGCTGAGTTTCATGCACAGGAGGTTCTGGGATGAACAAGGGAGTTTTTGTAGGTGCATACAAGGAAGAGGTGTCAGTTCAAAAGCTACTTAGGAGACTTTGGGAAGTGACAAAAAAGCCATTTTAGGTAAAACACCAGTTTCCATGGATGTGAGTCTGAGCTGTCAGCTACTCCAGCTGAAAAGCAGCCTCTGAGAGCTTTGGATTTTATTTTTTTTTCAAAGAAAAATTATCTTTCATTTTCAAAATGACTGGAAATTCCCTATAGGAAGCTCTCCATCTTTTTTTTTTGTTGTTTTGCCTTGTATACTCCAATAGTGTGTGTAGGTAAATACATTCAAGTATTTTTGTTTTCTTTTTTTGCCTGCAACTTGTTTGCTCTGTTTCCTGTGATGGTGCTTTGGTGGTTGCAAGTCTGTTCCATTCTCTGTAACCTTGTGGTGGTCCCTCAGTTGGTGGATTAATCAGATTTTTGTCTGTGTGTGAAGGACTCTGCTGCAGGGAATATGTTTCCTCACAAAAGTAACCTTCAAATGAAGATTCTGTGGTGAAACCCAGTTATTTTAAACATTTGTTACACTTGTATTTCTTGCTTTTGTACTTATTATTTCACCTCTGGGCAAAGTATGAATTTCCCAGGTATTTAAACTCAAAGGTTGTGGCCTGTTATGGAAACATTTTTGTATTGTTTACATTTCTGAAAAGACAAGTTCGTAAACTTTGGCTGCTGTTCAAGTGTAATATTTGGCCCAATGGGCCAGTGAAGTCCATTCACACCCTGCAAGGAGAGACTGGCTCAGGTTTGGCCTCTGCCCTGCCCAGACTGGGTTGGATCCAAACTGGATCTCCCAGTGAACTGGAGCTGTCAGATGAGGGGCTTTAAAGGAGCTGAAGTGTCTTGTCCACTCCAGCCTCTCGTCATTCCCACCCTGGGGGCTCATCATTGCCTCTGATCCATGAGATGTGTAAAATAAAGAGCTGTTGATGGGTCTCACTCCATTTCCTTCCTTCACTCAAAGTCGTGGGGTCTTCTTCTAACTCCAGTTTACCTGCAGTTAACAAGAGTGAGGAGTAGGAATGTTCTTTCTCTGTAACACACTGTCCTTGGTGGTGGCATTGCACCAAAGCCTTGGACAAGATGTTACAGCAAAGGTGAAATTCAAACCTATGACATTTTGAACACTGTTGTTTTTTTTTTTTTCTCTGTCCAAAGTTTCTGACTTCATTTAGGAGCAGCCATTTAAGCAACTTAAATTCTTTAAAATCTGAAATAAACCGTGTTGCAATAGGGAATGGTCTGGAGATAACTGGTGATAATCAGGGAATGTCATTAAATGTGTCTGTCCTGTTTGGAATTCTGGTTTTCAGCCTGTGACCAATGATCCATGTATTTTTTTCCATGTCTTTCCCATTAACCTCTGTTGTAACTATGTTACAGTCTTTTCTGTATTAAACCAACTTGATGTGATACAAAATGTCTTACCTTTTGCTACCAGTTCGAAGTTTCACTTCTGGGCAGAGACTTCCTTCATGACACTTGAGCACTGTAGCTGTTAAATTACCTATTCAGGAAAAAAAAAAAAAGAAAAAAAAAAGTTGTTAAGAATATTTTTTCAAATATTGTAAGTTGTGAATGATGCCTACTTTAATAAAATCCTATGCAGATGTATCCTTGGTTTGTTATCCTTGCTCAGAGCAGGTCAGAGCAGTGATAAAGGATCCTGGTCAATGAATGATCCTGATCAGTGCTGAAACCTTTTATGAGCCAGGTTGGGACAATTCCAAGCACAAGCACAGGCTTGGAGGAGCACGGATTGAGGAAAAACCCTGGGAAGAAGAACTGGGGGGTGCTGGTGGGTGAGAGGCTGGACAGGCCCGGACATGGGCACTCCCAGCCCAGAAATCCCCCATGTCCTGGGCTCATCCCACAGCGTGGACAGCAGGGGAGGGGAGGATTCTGCCCCCTTAGCTGAGACCCCACCTGCAGAGCTGCCTCCAGCCCTGGGGAACAACAGCACAAGGACCTGGAGCTGCTGGAGAGAGTCCAGAGGAGGCCACGGAGATGCTCCGAGGGCTGGAGCCCCTCTGCTCTGGAGCCAGGCTGGGAGAGCTGGGGGTGTTCAACTGGAGCAGAGAAGGCTCCAGGGAGACCTTGGAGCCCCTTCCAGTCCCTAAAGAGGCTCCAGGAGATATGGAGAGGGACTTGGAACAAGGGCTTGGAGTGACAGGATGCAGGGAATGGCTTCCCACTGCTAGAGGGCAGGGATAGGTTAGATATTGGGGAGAAATTGTTGTCTGTGAGGGTGGTGAGGCCCTGGCACAGGTTGCCCAGAGAAGCTGTGGCTGCCTCTGGATCCCTGGAAGTGTCCAAGGTGAGGTTGGACAGGGCTTGGAGCAACCTGGTCTGGTGAGTGGCGTCCCTTCCCATGGCAGGAGTAGGAGATTGTCTTTAAGGTCCCTTCCATCCCAAACCAATCTGGGATTCTGTGATTAACTTTGTGTTGACTATCCCAGTTGCTCAGCAGAGCCACTCGCAGGGAGACACAGCATGAATACCCCTCAGTCTCCAGTGAGCCACGAGGCTGGGCTTGCAGGTGGCAACCATCCAAGAAATGATGGCTTTCAACTATTCCTCTGTCTCTGCTATATTTCTCAGGGTGAGGAGCCTTTTGTTCCTTCCTCAGTCATGTGTCTGTCTCTCTTTATAGCTTGAAATAGAAAGAAAAGAGCAAGAGTGTTCTGGGGGAGGAGCTTTGAAAGCACACCCCAAGAACTGAAGATTGTTGGGTCCTTGTTTCTGCAGGTCTTGTCTCCAGCTGTTGCACAACCAGCAGGGTTGGTCAGCAGAAGCTGGTGCAGTGAGAATGAGCGGACTCACCCTGACTCATTAATCCATGGATAAGCCTTCCCTTCAGGTTAAACAAGGCCTTTCCCTCCTCCTACACCTCCACTTTCTAATGACGGGAACCTCTTGTGGAGAAAACATTCCTCTTGACCACATTTGATGACTAATGTGACCATCCTGCTGCTTGCAGAACACGGAGGGTGTTGCAGCTCCACCCTCTGCCCACCTACTTCCCTTTGATTTGGCTCCTGTCGAGTCCTGCTTGACACAGGCCCAGTCTGGCTTCCAGAAATGCCACAGGTGATCATAAGATCCAAAGATTCTACAGTTGGAGACAGGCTGGGAGAGCTGGGGATGTTCAGCCTGGAAAGGAGAAGGCTCCAGGGAAACCTCAGAGCCCCTTCCAGTACCTAAAGGGGCTCCAAGAGAGCTGGAGAGGGACTTCAGATAAGACCATGTTGACAGAACAAGAGTAATGGTCTTTAATTGAAGGAGGCTGGGTTTAGATTGGATATTAGGAAGAAATTCTCTACCATGAGGGTAATGAGGCCCTGGCACAGGTTGCCCAGAGAAGCTGTGGCTGCTCCATCCCTGGAAGTGTCCAAGACCAGACTGGATGGAGTTTTGAGCTGATTTCTGCTCTTGGCTGCTTAAGACATAAGAGAGGTGCAGCAGAGGTGGAACCTTCTTCCCTCAGTGAAAAGGTGTGAGGGGTGTGGGTGATGAACTTTGTGACTTTGGAAAACGCCTTCTTTCGCTCCTCAGGATGGAGTCAGGCTCTAACACACTGTTGTTGGCAGCTCCTCATTCCTCCAGGGGAGCGAAGCTCAGCCCAGGGAGCCTAAGAGAGGGTCAGCCAGAGGGCAAGAATGTGGCTCCAGGGGCTGGGGTGCCCATTTTGCAGCCCCCCCTCTCCACTCTCCGTGTTTCAGACTGGGTTGGTGTCTTCCCTGACACCCTCCAGGCAGGTTGTTTCTATTTTAGGTGACCATCAGCTGGCATTTGCCCTTCTCCTGGAGGCTCAGGCCAGACAAATGCTCTGCGGGCTATTTTTGGCTTCATACCATAATTGTATGTGATCCTAAATTCCCTGTGGGTCTGAGTGCCTGAGGGGCTGTGCAGGGAGAGGGAGGGGCAGCTTCTGGAATAAACCCAGGGATTTAAGGATGACCGGGACTCCATAGAGCAGTAAGAGAGTTGGCACACACAGCTGCAGGGACAGGATTAAAAAGACATTTATGCTTCAGCAGCACCATTATGGAACTTAAATCCAGAGTGGGAGTTGCTCAGTCAGGGAAAAAAGTTGCTTCCTGCCCCTGATTCTGCAACTGGGAGCACTTTAAGATGTTCTCCTGCCCCGATTCTGCAGTTGGGAGCAGTTTAGGATGTTTTCCTTCCCCTAATACTGCAACTGGGAGCAGTTTAGGATGTTTTCCTGCCCCTGATGCTGCAAGTGGGAGCAGTTTAGGATGTTTTCCTTCAAGCTGGCAGTGGCTATCTGTGCAATTTTGAGGACTCAAACCCACAGTTTGAGAAAACTGACTTCCAGTTTAGCATTGGAGTGGTTTTCCAGTACAACCACCACTCAGTCTGACCCAGGGTCAAATGCTTCTATGCATTTGATACCTTCCAGTGGCTGTATTTCCTATAATCCTTTGTGCAGCCTCCTGAAGTTCCCAAGAAGGTGCATTGCACAGATTAGTGTAAAGTTTTGAGGGAATTTAAACCTTTGGACAAAAACTATAAAGAGCTGAGTGCCATCTGCACAGTCCTCTGCCTTTTCCCCCACCTCAGATGGGTGCCCCACAGTAGAAAAGGTCTTAAGTGTAGGATGACATTTCTTCTGACCTCAAGCAGAGCTCTGGTCTTTCAGCCTGGAGAAGACTCCAGACCTTAGAGCCCCTCCCAGTGCCTAAAGGGGCTCCAAGAGAGCTGGAGAGAGACTTTGGACAAGGGCTTGGAGGGACAGGACGAGGGGGAATGGCCTTAAGCTGAAGGAGGGTAGATTTGGATTAGATATTGGGAAGGAATTGTTGGCTGTGAGGGTGGTGAGGTCGTGGTACAGGTTGCCCAGGAAGCTGTGAGTGCCCCATCCCTAGAAATGTCCAAGGCTTGGTTGAAGCAATGCGGGATTGTGGAAGGTGTCCCTGCCCATAGCAGGGGGTTGGAATGAGATGAGCTTTGAGGTCCTTTCCAACCCAAGCCATTCCATGATTCTATGATATTTTGCAAAGCCAAGTCCTACGAACAATTCCATATTTCCATTCTGCTTCCCTCACCCTTTGGCCATTCTGTTTGTGCCACCTCGTTTATCCCTTATCCTTCCAGCGGAGGTGTGAGATTCTCCAGACAGTCTGGGGGCTCAGCAAAATCCTCCTGGGAGCTGCTACAGGCACTCACTGCTAAATGTATTTCTAGCTCAAAGTGCCAACTTTTAAAAAAGTGAAAAAGTGCTGGTTACAATGACATTTCATGTGGAAAATACATAATTTCCCTGTAAATTACTTTTTTGGAGTGAAGTCAGAAACTTCCCCTATAGAAGTAGAACAAGACATTAATTTTAAGTTTAATTTTTCCAGAGCAGCCTTTTATCTTGCAGTGTGCTTCACCTCAGAGGATTTCAGGCAGTGAGAAATTCCACTCCTTTCCCAATCCAGAAGGCATTTCCCCAGCACAGAAATGCCAATTTCTTTAGCTACCATGTCTTCCCAGGCTACTTGATCTCATCTGTGCACCAGGAAAAGCAGGAACCCCTTACAGATGTCAATGCTTGAAGGTCTTCTTATTTTTCGTACTTTGTGGTCACTTTGGTCTTTAAATACAGAGTGATCCCCATGTCAGATCCAGGCTGGAAAGACTTTTCTGTCACAGAGTTTTAATGTCGTGACAGGAGGTGGATATGGACACATGGAAGAAGAAAGGAATGTGGGCTTGGAGTCGTGGTTGGAAGCAGACAGACCTGGATGAAGACAACTCTGTACATCTCCTCAGCTCTTCAGGAGGTGAATATAAAGCTGAATGGAAAATGGCCACAGGAGAGGTTATTTCTTAGCACAGATGGAAATAACCTCAGGTTTCTCTGCCAGAATTTCCCAGAGGAGAAAATGAGACCCTTCACGTGGGTGAGCTCCCAGCTTGTGCAGTGGTTGTGGATGTCCTTAGATCCATGGCTTTGTTTTCCACTGTCCTGAGGGGAAAAGCAGCTGAGAGTCCAAATCCCTGCCAGTTTGGGAGTGAGGTTTGGGGCAGGAAGGGGTTTAGGGATGGGGAGGAACAGCACAGCTTTACCCGGATTACAACAGTTGCCTGTTCTCCTTATTTACCTCCCAAACTCATCCCTGGGAATAGGTCAGGATTAGCCCAGGGCAAGAACCACGCCCAGCAGGCAATTGGGAGGCAAGGATCCTATTTTGGATGGAAAATTAATTCAATATTTGGTTACAGCCAGACTGTGCCAGCCAGGGAGGGCCCAGGCTCCAGGTTAACCCTAATCCTGACACCAACAGGCTTGACCATCTCCAGCCTGTCCTTTCCACCAAATTCCTGGGACTTGGACACCCAGGGACACTTGGGAAGAAGCATGAGGAGGCTCTTGGATATCTTCCCATAATCGAGTGATATGTCCCCTGTCCCTCTCCAGCTCAACAAGTGTGTCCTCCACCTCGCTGCAGGTTGCTCAGCACATCCCTGCTTTTGTTCTTTGTCAGGGGAAAAGGCAGGAACCATGTTCCTGGCAGGACAAATGCATGCCCAGGAATTTCCCTCCTGCAGGGAGGTCACAGTGTGTTCCCGGATGTGTGGCATGACCTTTAGGCCAGGAGAGGAGGTTCTTGGCAGGGGATGTTCAGCTCCAAGGACACCAGGGAGCCCGTAATTTTTTGGCCAGACAGGAGCATTGCTGCTGATGTCACTTTACCCATGTGATGCAACAGGTCCTTCATCTCTCCAGCTTTTCCATAATTCCAGGTTAAAGATCCATCATCAGTTGCGAAAGGAGTGAGCCAGAGGAGAGAAAGTAAAGTCCAGGGTTCATCCACTGACCATCCTCTGCCCCTTCAACCAGCACTGCCCAAAATCCATCATATTTGGGGCATTTTTGAGGCTCTTCCTCCTGGGGTCTTGTGATTTCACGCATGAAAAAAATCTGTTGTTTCAAGAATAAGAAATACAGATTCAGAAATATCACAATTATTTACAAATAATGAATAAGGGGGCCTGGTTTATCAGCTTCTATGGCAATGTAGCAAAAAATGTTTAATTTGTACACAGGTTTGGTTGTATAAAACACGTGCTAAATAAAATGGGGTGTGAGGGAAACTTCCAGCTATTTCCTGAGTAAAACACATTTTATCAAAACAGTTAGAGAACACTAGTATTTGTGCAGTTAAAGCAGTTAAAAGTTCACAGCTTGTAGAATGAAGTTCTCATTTGATTTATCAAGTTATCTTTTATCAAATCTTTTCATCTTTTCACATGTAAATCAGTTTATTTTGAACAACTTCCTAATTTTATTACAGCTTTCATTCACTTGGAATTTTCTGTGATTCTGTGGTTCTCAGAGACTCCCAAATGAGGTTCAGGAACAATCCCTGCCTTTCCAATCCATATAATGTTAAGGAAAAATTAGTCTTCTGGAAATTAATATGAACTGTATGAGCTCAAAAATCTGCAATTAATTATAACAAGTGTTGCATTTTAATATTTTGTTACTATTTTATTTATAATAATTTTTATTACATTTTTATTATCTGGCTCAATTTAGTGAGCTCACAGTTTTTCACTACATGGCCACAGAAAATTCCTGCATTCCTCTGATAAATACAGGAATTACATTGATAGTGCTCAGATATGGTTTGCCAACATCTCCTAAATTGTGATAAAGTGCTAAAATGACATTTTTTGGGGGATAGTTTTTTACAGGGAGTTCACTACAGCGTTTGAGTGTGTTTGGTTACACACAAACACCACCCCAAACATGCTGTTTCATGGGATAAGTGGTTTATTGAGCTCCAGCACCAGGAAAACTTGGTTTGCTATGGATTTGTGTCTTGCAGCTGATTGACAGGGATGTCTAATAATGAAATAAAATATGTTCTTTTTACAAGTAGGTGCCCCTTCCCTCTGCCTGAGTCCAGCCCCATCATGGGGGTCACAAGTGTCCCTTCAAGTTGCCTTTGGGGAATGTCAAGGGAAGAAAGGTCAATAAATGAGCAATTTCCCTTTCTTCATATTCCTCCTTTTCATGTCATCTCTCCTCCTTCCACATCCATGTGGGTTTTTTACATGGTTCTGTGCAGGTTAAGCAGGTCTGAAGTTGTGCCAGGGTCCAAAATGTGTCCCAGCTGGCCCTGTTGAAGGCAAATTGTGCTTCAGAAAATGGGAATAACCCCAATTCCTCCTGCAATCTTTTCCCCGCTGGAAGGTGGTGTGAAACCTGACATATTTAACCAACAAATACAATCTCCAATGGGATAACAGCTGCTTTTAGGGTGCTGAGGGCAGGAGGACGAGGAGCCAGTGAGCTGTAGATCCTGCTCACCCAAGCCCAGGACAGCTGATCATAGAATCATAGAATCATTAAGGCTGGAAAAGACCTCCAAGACCATCAGGTCCAACCTTTGGCTGAATGCCATCATCCCCACCAAGCCACACCATGAAGGATCTTCTGGTTTCCTGCAGACCTTGCAGAAGCTTCCTGGGAGGAGCCGCTGCTGCTCGAGTGTGCTGATGGCAACCAGAGGGGTTCAGCATGTGGGAGTGGACTCTGGTGAAATCTGGAAGAATTTCTTTGTGTAAAGGGTTGTTAAGCATTGGAAGGGGCTGCCCAGGGAGGTGGTGGAGTCCCCATCCCTGGAGCTGTCCAAGGAACGACTGGACGTGGCACTCAGTGCTCTGGGCTGGGTGACAAGGTGGGGATCGGGCACAGGTTGGACTCGATGATCCTGGAGCTCTTTTCCAACCTAAATAATTCTGTGATTCTGTGAAATCTGAGCTCTTGCCAGGAGCAACAGAACCCCAGGGCTCAGCAGGGATGCAGCATGGCCTCATCACCCCACTGCACTGTGTGTCCAGACTGCCCTGTGGACACCAGCTCCATGTGCTCCATGTCTGAGGTTCAGTCCTCGATCCACACCTCGATCCCACCACCTCTTCCATCACTTCTCCATGAATATTGCTGCCTCCTCCGTCAAAGGCAGAGGCCTTGCAAAGCCCTAAGCACAGGACAGTCTCTGCCCAGTCATTTGCTCAGCTGTTTTTTCTGCTGTCTGGCTGATGATCTGCCAAGAAAATGGCAACACCTTCATTTCTCCATCCATCGGAACTTCAGCTTTGCCAGGTGGAAAAACTGCCCCATCCATTGCACAAGAGCAGCAGAGTCTCACTGGAGACACTCTGGAGGGGACAGAGCAGATGTTTCAGTGCCAATGACCCTCGACTGCCCGGGGGTGTTTGCTCTGTTGGCAGCGTGTCCCAGGATCAGTGCCAGGAGCAGATTTTCCACCTCCCCACCTGGCAACAGCAGCTGGGCCGTTTGCCTGAGATAATGCTGAGCCTCTGGGGGACAGAGAGGGGACATTTCCCACATGTCCCCAGGCACGTCTACCTGCCAGGGACCCCAGGTCCTCAGCTGGCAGGAGAATTGGAATATCAGGATCTACATTGCATGGGAATGGTGGCACCTCAGTCCCTGGGGACACACCATGGCCCTGTCCAGACAGTGTGTCTGTGCCAGATTCCTGAGGAGTTTGGAGGGGTTTTTATTCTCCAGAGAGTCCAACAGAGCTCCAACCACTGTGGTGAAGGGGGTTGTGATGGGGAAGGGCAGTTTTGCTGTGGACAGGAGGAAGAAGATGTGGCTGGGCTGGGAATTCAAAGAGGGACTCCAGTCCACAGCCCCTGAGCTGCTTGCTGGAGGCAAGTAAACAAATTGTAATTTAAATAATAAAACCCCATAAAAATAA